TATCCTGTGGAAAAACTGCAGCAGCTCTGGAGGTTTGAACACCGCTTTATTTGGGCTGGAGAATTACTACTAAACGTGATATATTTGTTTTGTTTTCTTCCTTCTGACAGGCTGCTGCTTTTAAACCAGTTCCATGATGTGATTCCTGGCAGCTGCATTGGGATGGTTGTGGAGGATGCTCTAAATTACTATAAAGGTACAACATTTCAGTATAACAGCAGTCTGTTCATGTCTGAGCTGTGCTAATATGTAAATGACACTTTGATGAAGATATCCACAGTGAAGGTGCTGCACTTCTCAGGGAGGCCTGTGAAGCCTTGGAGCCGAAGGGCAGCTCCACCGCTGTGTTCAACTCTCTGCCGTGGGAGCGCCATGAAGTCGTACAGATTACAGACGACACGGACAAACCTGGTCTGGGTATGTTTGAATAAAAAAAAAATAACTCACTTTCCAAGCCTTGAAACTACAAGTTAATATCTGTTGTTTTGTGACTCTACAGCTCTGCTAAGAGCTCCCAGYGTCGGCGTGTCTCCTGTCAAAGAGACGCAGTCTGTGACTCCAGTTTCCGTCACTCCTCAGGTGTTTGCGTTATACAGAGATAAAGTTTGATTTGCTCTCATTCGTGTTTCTAACAGGGTTTTTTAAATATTTCAGACTGACGGCTCTGTTGTTATGGAGAATGGGATTTTACGGGCTGTTGTAAGCAAAGATGGCACATTGGCTTCTCTGTATTTGGTTGATGCGAACAGGTAAATGACATGTAACTATATTAAAGTGAGGGTATCATGTATTTTCCAGACACAGTTTTAATTCTGTACCACAGTCAAGTAACTATGTTACGTTCAGTTATTATGAAAATGCTGTGTATATTAAAAAATAATTTTTAAACGCGTTGAAATTGGCCTTTGTTTCTTTAAGAACCTCGTACTGTTTCGGCACTCCCACTTCAGCATGTCTTCACAACAATGCTTCATGCCGTTTACAACCTTTCATAGGAGCGTTGTTAAAAAAGAAGCAACATTACTGTATATAATATCAGTTTTGGAAAATGGCAACTCAAGATATAGTTGTACYTTAATCATAATACCCCCCCACCACCACCCCACCCTTTAACATCATCTGTTACCATATAAGTAACAACCTTATCTGCTTGTTTCAGAGAATCTGTCTCTGATGGCGGTGCTGGGAACCAGTTTGTCATATTTGATGATGTCCCCCTGTACTGGGACGCCTGGGATGTGATGGACTACCATCTTCAGACAAGGTCAAAGCCATTACTATCAGCACATTGTGATGCGTCACACAGGAATCTGTTAAACAAACACTGAAAACGGACTCTACAGGAAGTCCGTGCTGGAAGTGGTGCATCCTGCTCAGGTGGTGTCCTCGGGTGGGCTTCGAGGCAGCGTCGGCTTCACCCTCAGGATCAGCGACAAAAGCACTGTCACGCAGGAGGTCATCATGGACGCCATGTGTCCTTACATCAAGTTCAACACCGAGGTACCCTGACATGTGGCAATGCTCCTGCTTATTTAAAAAAAAGAGATCCCAACAAGAAATTCACCTCGCTGCTATTTCAGGTGCAATGGGCCGAGTCACACAAGTTCCTCAAAGTTGAGTTTCCAGTGCGAGTGCGCAGCAACAACGCAACGTACGAGATCCAGTTCGGTCATCTGCAGAGACCCACTCACTGGAACACGTCATGGGACTGGGCCAGGTTTGAGGTACGACTTACTGTCAGTGTCCAGGAGTGTGGTGGTTTAAACGCATCGCTTGAACCCTAAAGTTGGACAATAATGTTCTAGCCTGTGTGTTAGCAAAATATCTCATGAACCACTGAAGCGATTTTAATGAAACTTTCACAAAGTTATTGGCTATACCTGATCAACAATTGTTTTACTTTTGGAGTCAACCAAATTCACTTTATCCCACATGTCAAACTAAAGGCCTGTGGGCCAAATCTGGCCCTCGTTAACATTTTATCCGGCCCCAAAGGTTTAAATGTGAAATAGTTTTATGGTTTCTCTGAAMTGTATTTCAATTCATTTCAAAATTTCCATAAATCAATTTATTTAAATAAATTTAAAAACTTGCTTTAGTGCATTCTTCTCATGACAGCTGGCCAACTTTCAAAGCAAGAAAAATTTAAAGATATTGAGCTAAAAATCAAAGTGGTAGTAGCTGAGAACTCCTCACAACACACATCCTGTGGATGAGATGTCACAATACTCTGAAATTGTGCAAAACCTAAATTTCAAGTTTTAATTAAAACAGTTATAACTCGTTTATTTCTCAACATAAGATGATCAATGCTAGGCCTTTCGTTTATTGTTGTCCTTATTGTTCTTTTTTTTCCCCCCAGGTTTGGGGTCACAAATGGGCCGACCTATCGGAGCACAACTTTGGAGTCGCGCTCCTGAATGACTCCAAATACGGTTACTCCATCCACAAGAACACAATGACCCTGTCTCTGTGAGGTTTCCACCAGTTCACATACACCAGGGGTGGGCAACTTAAATGATGGAAGGGGCCACATAGTGCTGCATACTTAAGCCTGAAACATACTCGCTGCGAACTGCCGATGTCGGCACGGGTTGCCGCAGTTTAATGACGAAAATTACGTCACCGGGCTTCTCAGCGTCGTGTCGACAGCCCGTTTAGGCACAACCCGCCGGCAGAACTTTTTGAACCCCCCCCGCCCCCCCTCCCGTGTCGACGGTAATGTGTGATTGGTCTGATTGGTCGTGGGCATGTTTGTTTGTGCTGCGTTCGGGGAAAAAAAAGAAAAAAGAACGACTCGCTCCCAGACTAGAAAGCAGAGTTTTATAAGATAGTCAAACCGTGAAAAACTAATTGGCCTGTTTGTTTGTGCTGAATGCACTGCTGCATTCGGTAAAAAAAAAGAGGGGGAAAAAACCCCGACTCTCTCCCAGAGCCGACACCAGGAAGTAGAGTTTTAAAAAGATAGTCATTCCGTGAAAAACTCATGAATGGAGATAAAACAGACGTTGTGCACGGAGGAATCTGACTGATAAAAACTGGAGCTAAACCAGGACAGATGTGAATAAATACGTCGGGTGAGTGACGAATCTGACTATTTTTCTGCATTATCGGCTGTTGCGGGGGAACTCCATGCAGTGACATGTTTCAGGGAGGGGGGTTTCCTGAACTCGGCGCGGGGGTGTCGTAGGGACTATGAAAGGTTTGTGCGAAAATGACTGCCGATCAACCATGTGACCGCGTATCGACCCGTCGGCGTCGGAGCGAGTATGTTTCAGGCTTTAGTCAAGGTTTGCCAAGAACAGGGGTCTGCAACCTGCGGCTCTGGGGCCGCATGTGGCCCTTTGGTCCCTCTACATTGGCTCTTTGAAAACGACGCCAAACATAACAGAATTTTATTTTATTTTTTTGGTTTTTATACCACAACAGAAATTATTTGTATACAAATATGTGATCAATACTACTAATACAAAAAGTAAAACATGTTGATTAGCTCATGCTAGCCTGCTTTTTACTTACCGGTAAATAATCTAACTTCTTTCTATGATCTTTCTCTCAACTCCATCAGAATTACCTTTAAAGAATTTGAAGACTACATAATAAGAAGAATTAGAAAAAAAACATGCCAGAATAGTTCAGTTGTACTAGTTTTTATGAAATGTGGTATAAACTATATACAGATTTTTTTTTACATGAGTATAGTATTTTTATTTGTCCTGATGTGTAAAAATAATAATAAACAATGAAATACACAATTTATTATTTTGTTTTATAATGTCACCTCCACTGGCCAGAAAGGTTCACGAAAAGGCCTAGAAAAGGCCCATGGACCACCTGTTGATAATCACAGTTGTAGCTTATTTTTGCGTCAAGTAGCAGAAATGGCTCTTTCAATTGTGTAGGTTGCAGACCCCTGGCCTAGAAATTCAAATGGTCTACCTCTAAAAAAAATTTTTTTTTACTTAATAAAAGCACACAACGCAGTATTTAGAATCTAAAAGCTGCTCTGAGTGGTTAAGATTTGTTTTTTTATGTTTTGGGGGACAGGGGTGTGTCTTATTGGCAGGTCGGTGTGGCCCGCAGGCCGCCAGTTGCCCATCCCCGACATACACCGTAGCTCACCAGATTAAAAAAAATACTTTCACGTAATCATATTTGTCAAATTATTATTTCAGGCTGAGAGCACCTAAGGCCCCAGATGCCACAGCTGACATGGGGACCCACCAGTTCACATACGCCATCATGCCTCACGCAAGTATGTTTTATTAGTCTGTTTGATGTTTCGGTACAAGCCGGAGAGACTCGTTAAACATATGTAAAACATATGTTTTTTGCATAGGCTCCTTCCAAGATGCATCTGTTATCCAGTGTGCCTACAACCTCAATTYCCCCCTGAGGCTGGTTCCATGTCACCCTGAAACTGAACCCTGGAGCGCCTTCTCTGTCAGCCCTTCATCAGTCATACTGGAGACCATTAAACAGGTAAATTACACATCAGAGGGATTTTTTAAAAAGCAGCAGTTGTGTGGAAAGCTAGATCTGAATGAGTGCTATGGTTTACATTACCAGGCTGAGGAKGGGAAGGGGATGCTTGTCGTGCGTCTTTACGAGTCACACGGTGGCAGCGTCACTGCAGCTCTGCACATCAACCTTCCAGTCAAGGAAGCCTGGCAGTAAGTGCTTCGATTTTACTTTTCAATGTGTTCCTGTCTGAACTTCTTTTCTTTTTTTTTAGCATCGTTTCCTGAAAACAAACCCACTCCGTCTGTTTTCTCTTTCAGTTGCGATCTCTTGGAGAGGCGAGACGCCACCCGGCCGGCACGCATCACGCCGCAGGGAATTTCTCTGAGCTTCAGGCCCTTTGAAATTGTGACACTCCTGCTCGTTTTGTGACCTTTTTTTTTTTTTCAGCGCAGCGTTTTGACGCTTTGAAGTTCCAGGATAATTGGTTGTTGGGAGACGAAGACAGAAATAATGTGAAACAGCTTTACTATGGCAGGTTTTGTAATTAAAATAGGTACTTTATTAAAAAATAATTCAAGGTATAAAAGCATTTATAGAGTGATGCCTCCTTTTTTGTTTTTATTTGCTGTTCTTTCTGGTCGCTCTCCCACTTCGTCTCTGACCTGCAACAAAAACAGCCGTTTTTATTTATTAGATGAGAAACAACAGGAAAAAAAAACTTTATAAACTCAGATCTGATGAGTTTACCTGCATTTTGTTCTGCACCACTGCTCTTCCTCTTACGTGAACTTGCTCTTGTTTCACTCGGTGGTATTACTTCCTGGGTCTTTTCAGACTTTCCTGTCTTTGATATGACTTCCTTCAGGGGTACGCTCTTTTCTTTTTTTGGCGGCGTTTCCTTTTTGACTACCCTTTTCTTTGTTGTGCTTTCAGAATGACTTATGACCGCCTAAACAAATCAAACCTGTTAGCTTCTACTGCTCAGCTAAATTTTTAAAACAAGTACGGCTTTTGTTTTTTACCTTCTTGCCTGTGTAGTCACCATCATCCTCTTTCTTTACTCTCTTTTTAGCCTTGGATGACTTTGAACCTTCCCAGACAAAACGTCAACGTCAGATTCTTATGTGAGCTTCAACAAGAGTCAGGCATTTTTTCTTACCTTTGGGAGCCATGGGGCCTGGATCTCCCTGAAACAAACCCAAACAGTTTGTCAGAGAAAATCTGGTGGCAAATATGTACTATATAAAAGCCCAACTCACTTTAAACCACACTGTTCTGCCATTGTGGTCCCGGAGAGTTTTCATTCCATCCACATAATAACACTGCAGCCATGCCTGAAAGCTGGAGTAGTCTGCCTTCTCTGGGTCATAACCTTTACCACCTAAAATATAAAATGTATCATGTGTGGCTTTTTATGATGGAATCAGACAGTAAAGTGTATAAGAACTGACCTAAGTTGACCACTTCTAGAGGTACAGTGTGACAAAGCCTGAGCAGGTCACCGGCCTCCTGTTTCACATCTTTTGTTTTCGTTTTCTGACATTTTTGGGAGGAATGAAAGCAGATAGTTAGACAATGCAGTGCTTTTTTTCTCTCTCTCTCTCTGTAAAATATGCGTCACCTTTGTGAACTCTTTCTTCAATGGCTTCTCACATGAGTCATGGGCGTCAAGGCCTTCCAGTACACCACGGGCACACACAAAGGGTGGAATACTTGACCTAAAAAGAAAAAAAAAACACTTTGGACCAATTGTTTTTCAGAACAAGATTTTTTTGTTTGTTACTAGAAAGATTTAGTTTTAACAGCTTCCCACATATTAGAAAGTGACTATTCATGAGAAAAACCTTGAAATTCATGGGAATAGTTTGGTTTTATTTCTCAAAATCCTGAACATCTCCCCCTGCAAAGAAAATACATAAAACAAAATAAATAATTAAAAAAGAATCTCACAAGAACAGAAACTTATCAAATACAAAAGGCTGCTCTCAGAAGCTCGTCAACAAACAGACCACACACATTGGTCCTTCTATCCTCATGGGGAATTTGCATTGACTTACATTACTTTACCGATAATTTCTACAGCCTAACCCTGATCCTAAACCTAACCTCACAGGTACACACCTGATCCTAAACCTAAACTAAACTCAAATTACACATTTGTCCTAAACCAAACTCCTGAACCACCAATGGTATTTCCCCCAATGGGGACTGGACTTTTGTCCCCATAAGGAACAGTGGGTCCTCACCAGGCTGTGTGCACCAGGAAAATGTTCAGAAATTGTCCCCACCAGGTAGCAAAAACATGCAAACACACACACAGAGAGAGAGGCTGACTTGGTTCAACTAATCAACAGTTAGAATGAGGTGGGAGTATATAAAAATTTACATGATATGAAGGATTGCTCTGAGATTAAAACAGCTAAAATGAGCAGATTTTCAGATTCATTAATGTGCAGCTCTATGGCCCTCTGGTAGGGTCAACAATAAAATTGTGGCCCCTTCCATCATTTGTTACCATCCCTGACTATTTAAAAAAAGAGTGCACATCCAGTTTCTATTTGTGTCGTTTATAATGTTTATAAATGCTCATCACCTGTAGAGGATTTCAGCTCTCAGGTAGTTCCCGATACCGTTGAAGTACTTTTGATTCAGCAGGACTTCACAAATCGGTCGGTCAAAAGCTCGATCGCTCAGGTGTGACAAGATGTTCTCTCTGCAAAATAATGGTAAGAAATGCATTAATACAGTAGTGCTCGTGAGTGTGAAGACAGTGTTTTTGGTTCTGCAGATGAGCCGATCAGTGTTGCAGACCTAAAGCTTTGATACTCAAACATGACACAGGGCCCTCTGTCAGGCTGCCAGTTTCCACTGGGCTCCCAGCTGCCAAACCTGCGTGTGTCCACAAAGCTCAGCACTCTGCGGGGTTTCTCCTGGGTATAAAATCGCAGATGAGCGTGCTTGGGCAGCTCATCCTCTGGGGTGAAGCGGAAATAACCCGACATGCCAAAGCGAAAGACTACGTCCGTGGGTTGAGACGCTTGTCCTGCCGGAGCGTCATCGCTCTTGACGGGCGTCAGCGTCAGCTTGACTTCCTTCCCTCTGGAAGTGGCTGTGATGCGATACGCCTCACAGGTGAAGGGCACWTCAGGATTTTTGCTGACGTCAGATTTTATGACCGGTCCGGAGAACACCACTCCGTCGCACATCTTGTTCACATACAGGCTGGCCAAATGGAGCTCGGGTCCTTCGGGCATTTTGACAGAACATATACATCTGTGGAGAGTTAAACAACTGATTACATCCTGTTGTACCAGACTGTAATCAACTCTGTTTATATTACACATGCATGCTTATTTATCAAGCCAAATGTGTCAATGTGTTTCAGTTATAACCTCACCTAAGTATAAGCAGATAGACTGTAAACTAATAATGCTCAGCTACTACCACAWAAGTTTAAATATCTGTTAAACTCTAATGTTGATTAGATGTGGTGGCCATCTTGAATCAGACTGACTCCAAAGTTAATCATATGATGTTTCCTGAAAGGTTTATTATGATCCATCCAGTGGTTGACTTTTTGCTAAAAGACAAGCAGAGTTGACTACAAATCGTGGCTATATTTTAGCAGCCATCTTCAATCTCATTGACTCCAGAAGTTAATCAGTTGTAGATCTCCCCCTGATTACATTCTGCAAGTTTCATTCAAATTCGTCCAATGTTTTTTAAGATGTTTTGCTAACAGACAGGGACAGACAGACGAGCAATAGCATATCGCCTGTCTTTAGCTGGCGTGCGATGAAAAAAATAGCGTATTTACCATTCAATAAACAATCTAAAGAAATAAAATCACCAATAAATTAAACGCACTGTCAGATGGGATAAACTCACCCAAACCAGGAAATACAAGCTTTCAGCGAAACGAGTTGCGTTCTTATTCTTTATGCAACTACTTAAAACATGCATACAGGTATTTAAGAGCTGCTGCCATTAGTAAAAATTTGGAAAGAAAATGTTTTTCTTATTCAGTATTTGTACAAATAAGTTGTGCAACCTCCGGAGTCAACATTTGGAAATATCGCGAGATCTCCAGGTTTTCACGTTTCTGTGCGATCCTTTTTTTTGTCATCTTTTCGTAGAAACACGTTGACATAGCTAAGATAATAACTATGAATGTAAAACCAACCACCAGGCTTTTTTTTCCTTAATCAGAAAATAATGCAGAAACTTGACATTTCCGGCAAAGTGGTCCACCGATGCATGATGGGAATTGTAGGCGCGGAGACAAGGATGGAAGTAAAGAATTTCACATTTTATTACAGCCGTTTAAAAGTAAAACAAAAATTATAAATTATAAGCAAAACGTATCAAGTAATATGATAAGATTTTACAGCAAAATAAAAATTAAAAAACATACATTATGTGTTTTAGCTCAGTGACAAATCTGTCTAGAAACATTTCTACCAATTCTTAGTATTCTGGTAGAAAAATACTTTAATATTAATACAATCAAGCAGGAAAAGAGGCTTTCTCCTCACATTATATGTTACCAGTTTTAAGCAAATAGATAATTTTGTACAAGATTATATAATATTGGCACTGTTGGCAGTTTATCAGCATCAGTTGTGTCCCGTTCTTGATTAAATATTTGTTATCCGGTGTTTATTGCAGTGCATTCATCATAGCCTGGGCTTGTTTAAGCTCTGTAAAAGAGAGAAAAAAAAMCACAGAGACATGACGTAAATCCTACAGTAATATTCAGATTATTAAAATGGYTTTGCAGTGGAGAGATCAGTGAGGAGAAAAAAGGTGCAAATTCAACGAAAGGAAAATGAAACTGACCAGAAAGCAATACTCTGAATTTGTCAGCAGAGACGGAAACAACTGTCGTCTCAGATGAGCCTGGCGCATCACCCTGCGTCTGCAGTTTCAGCTGGATCAACGGTTCATTCACTTCTCGGAGGTCACTCGAGCTCAGAGTGTAATCAACACGCCAGGACACAGAGTCGAGTCGTCCTACTGGAGACCATCACAGTGCAGAATAGATGACAACACTGAGTCAGCATCAATGTTTGACTTCTGGTTTCAGATGAGGAAGTCTGACAGAAAAACTTACATCTCAAGCTGGTTTCCCTTAATTTGTTCTGAAGTGCAGCGTGCTTGTCTTCATAGGATTTGCAAAGCCCCGTAGTGTGTTCTAAGAAAACGAAAACGTTTTACTAAAATTTTAATACAATTTATTTTACAAATCCAATGGTTTTCAATATGTATCAATGTCTGAAAAAACAGAATAAATGCTTCTAAAACTATGACAAGTGACTAAAAAAATGGCTGACCACAACAATGACAGAGACATTAAGTCTGTAAAACAAAAAGCTTTAAAAGATAGTTGTAAGAAAAAAATTGAAGTTCTTAAACATCAAACCATCCATAAATTTAATTGAATATTTTTAACCGCCAAAAAAAAAAAAATCTCAGCATTGCAAACACCACTCTGTGGTTGTTTTATTTTCTTATAAAGCAGCACAATTTTTATTTATTTATTTTCTGAAATCAAGCAGCCAAAGAAACAACCACAAACACCAACCTTTCGGCAGCCCAAGCTGCTGCAGCTCACTGGTCAGAGAGTCGCTGTCGACATCATGCTTCGCTGCGCTGGACAAAATAAAGCTGAGCACAGCCACGCTTGCTTTGATGTCTCCACTGTCTGAAAGAAGAGTCGAGATAAAATGAAATACTTTAAACAAAAAGCAACTCATGGTAATTTTATATTTAGCTCAAACTAATGAAATATATCTTGTTCAAACACACAACATTATTAACAGAAAGTGATAACATCAACTTATAAAAGTGATACAACCTAAAAAAAGTGTGTAAGATGTGATTTATTGCTAAAAAAAAACTGGTAGGACGTTTTGTAACAGATTTTGTTAATGAAAACAGATCAGTCGTATTAGTGGGAACACCTGTTTTGCATCAGCTCCTTTTAATAATCCCTAGTAGTTTTGACAGCAGAAGCTTTATAAGGGATACAGGATWTTAACTGTTTTCTACAACAGAATTAAGACAATAAATGGCAGGCCTGGAAAGCTTAAGTGGACCATTTTAGTACACAGTTTTGTTTTGTTTGAACTCTGTCCTGATGATAAGCTGGACAATTACTAGAAATTGTTTTTATACAGTATTGTATAAACAAAAAAATTAAAAAGAGCGAAGTTTTAAAAGTGTTGTGACTCTTCAGTTCTGATATTTGACCAAGATTCCTCTGGATTTTTTTTAAAGAAAGGTGTAGTAAACCCCTTTATGGAGTCTCTTTAATTGTATGTTTATGTAGGGATGTTGACATTTCATCAGCAGCTGCTGCCATTTTCTTCCCAAACTGCTGTGACCAGATTTTGCAAGGCTGCTCGGTGCGTTTGCTTGTAATTTCCTCCTGCTT